CTATCTTCTATTACCTTTGATGACATTGTTACCAAAATTCTGCTCTTCTTCCAGTAGCAACTTTCTCATTGTTTTCCTAGCCTCTGCTAAGAGTCTCCATGCAACCCTTCCAGTCTCTACCTGCCACCAGTTCCAAGGGAAAGACCACATTTTGGCTTTTGTTATAATGGCATCTCACTTCCAGTACCAATTTTTATAACAGTTATCTCTTTCTACAAAACTAACCTTTCTGGAACTTATTGACCTAAAACAACAAATTATTTCTCATGATTTTATGCTTGGCTGGTGTCAGCAAGGTAATTCTTCTGTACTGTATAGTGTTGAGTGTGGTCATTCATGTGGGTACATTCATCAGAGAGCTGGAATGATCAAAATGATGACACACATGATCATTGTCTCTCAGCTATTTGACTGGAGTAGCTGAGAGCTGGTTGAGCCTTCTCAGCAAGAGAGACTGACTTTTTATGTGATGGCTTCGGACTCTCTTGGAGTGAAAGTTGAAATTGCTAGTCCTCTGAAAGGCCAGGCTTTCAACCAGCTTGAAACTTTATTGATTCTATTTAATGATTCTATTTAATCATTAGAATACTGGTCTGTATTCTAATGATTAAATCAAGTCACAGACCAGTCCAGATTCAAAGGGAGGAAAAGGAGACTCCATCTTTTATTGAGAAAAGTAGCATGAATGTACAGTAAGGGAAAGAAATGTTAATAGCTATATTAAAAGCAAATCTACCACAATTACGGATGGTGATAATTGCTTTAGAGGAAATATAATGGAGCAAAGAGATAGAAGGATTCAGAGAAACTAATTTAGATAGGTTGAATTGAGAAGGTCTCTTTGAGTGCTGAAGGATGAAAACAGACTAGTCATATAAGGGTAAGAGAACTTCTGAGCCAAAAGAATCAATCAATAAAGTGGCCTTTACAGAAATTCAGGAGAGACAAGACATGAACTTTGAACAGGGTTGCAATATTGAAGATGAAATAGTAGAAATAGAAACAGAATTTATTAGAGGACAAACTGATGACACTGATGAAAGCGTACACAGGGTCTGAGGGAGACGGGAGTATCAAAGACAATGCTTAGTTTTCTGTTTTAAGGAAATGTATTGATGAGATCCTCTTTACTATTTGTTTTTACTGTTGCTGTTTTATTTTTCCTGTTTTTTAAATTTGCCTGTGAGATGGAAAGGGGAACATAAATGATCTATTTGTTTTTTGAAAATATTGAGTCTAAGAGGCCTTTCTAATACTTGAGGGGGGCATAATATCCAGTAAGCATTAATTGTGTGAAGATAGAGCGACAAGTAATGTCTGCTGGAGGATATGAATTTTGAGGTCTTCGGAGTATAGATGCAATTGGCAAAATTCTAGATAGATATCTCAAACATTTTGTACCATATAACAATTTCACTCATTATCTCGACAAATACTTATGAAAACACAGCAGTACATAAAACGCATCACTTTCCATATATCTAATGATTTCCTTTTGTCTCAGTTGCATTCTATTAGCTTCTTATCACCAGTTTTAGCACTTTTTTTTTTTTTTACTATTTTTAAAGTAAAGATTCCAATAAACAAATTACTAACAAGACAAGCATGACAATGATACTGAAACAGAGCTGTTGGTTATCCATCAGTAGTACCTTAGAGGAATTCAAAATATTTATTAGTTATATCATATATGACAGCCCAAAGTTATGGTGGGTTGAAGATGTCATAATATAAAAAGTACAGAGTTTTAACTATAAAATATGTAAAGTTTAAGGTAATCTATATACATTCCTATATAAAATCAAAATGTCATTTCATATCTGGTTGACTTATTTAGTGAGTAATATCTAAATAACTAATTAACTATTTGAAAAAAAAAAGAAGTTAGTTCTCTTCACATTAAATCAAATCAATTCCAGAGAGCTTAAATATTAAAAAAAAATTATATGAAAGCATAGAAATGATAAAGAAATGTTTACTTAATTCTAGAAAAGAGAGGCTTAAGAATGTAAAAGCAAAAAGCCAAAAAGTATATGCACTGAAGTGCATGTAAATCAAATGCTTCTATATTAAAATAAAAGCACACAAAAATTCAAAGGCAAAGAGAAAAAAACATTTACAACATATGACACAAACAGTTAATATCAAAATATATTGGGTGCTTAAAAGTCAGTAAACAAATAACAAACCCCATAGAAAAGAGGATAAAAGAAAGAGGAATTTCAAAAAGGAGAGCAAACCATCAAAACACACAAAAATTGCTCAATCTCACTAGGAACCAAAGTTTTAAAGTAAAATAAAAACAATTAGAAACCACTTTGCCTACTTCAAAATCTTTTTTGTATTAAAAATGCATTTTCTGGTTTTTCATATAATACTTGACTCAGACTTTGCTTGTGAAAATGTAAACTGCATAGAACAAAAACATTATCAAGACAATCTTTTGTGCACCTATTTGAACTTCACATTGCCAAGAGTTAGAATAATAATTATGAAGTGTACCAGACTTGTGCTCAAAATTATATATAATAGTAATATGTATAGAATATCCTAAATGATAGGGGATCACTTAAATAATATTAGTACATATACAGAAAAACATCTGGCAAGATATATTCCAAAATATTTTAGAGGTTAATTCTGGTCATAAGATTGCTGCTTCTTTTCTTTTTGCTTATGATTATTTCCTAAATTTTCTATGAATATTAGAAGGGTAATTTTCTTCCATTAAAAAATATTCCCACATAATTTAAGTATTAATTTAGAGCCCATGAGCCACACAGATACACTTACTCTCCCAGAAAAACAATCTCGGTGTTGATTTCCCCTGACTTATGGCGAAGAAAATTCCTTAGGAAGGCAGTCACACTGTCAACTGTGATGTTTCCACAGACCACAATGAACCTAGGTGACAAGAACATATAAAGTGGATCATCTGAGGGACAGAAGTATCTTTCTGTCTAGATTCAGCAATGGACAATTAGCTTAAACTTAGTTTCAAATAAATTTGAATCACCCAGATTTTAAAAATAGAAACACCCAGGACTGGATTTCTATTATACAAAAGAAGCATTAGATTTCTGTAGTCTCTAGTTCATCTCACATAAGGTATGACTTCGCACATTTGAATTACACATAGCTTCTTAGGAATACAACAATAACTATCATAATTGCTAGGTTTTTCATAGTTACTTATAACTTATAATGGGCGTTAAGATGTGTAATTTGATTTGGCTTTCCACTTGATTTCTGGTTGGCTGATAATAGTCTTTTTTCACTGAGGAAAAACTGAGGCTCAGATTGTTTCACTGATTTTCCCATAGTCAAAGGCCATGGCTGAGGTAGCACCAGATTCTAGGTTATTTCAGTTTGTCTTCCCCATCTAAAATTATCTACTAGTCACAACAAAGTACGTACAATGGAGAGACACCTAGAAGCAAAAATTGAAGCATCTAACTTTTATGTTAAAAAATAGCCGTCAATTTCTTTAGGCTGAATATACAAAGAAGCTATTTTTTCCCTCCATTAATCATTTAAGGAAATGGAAAGCATAATTTTAGCCTAAGTTTACCTTAAATTTTCCAGACCTTATGGGCTCATTTATCATGTGTCACATAATCCTTTTCCTGAAATGAATCAGATCAAACTTTGGCTTATCTAGTTTATTTTATTGTTTTCATTAATTTCATTATTATTATTATTACTCTTCATACTCCTAGATTAATTTTGGTTTTCATTGAATTACATTAAAAGACAAGTCTAAGAGAGTTTATCTTCATTGTGCCTCTTTCCTCTACAGCAGACGGAGAATAAATAACAAAGAATCCATTCGAATTTAAGATCTCTGATTCATTCTTTTCTTCTTAGGTGGAAAAAAGCATAATGGAAACTGAAGAAACACATATTGACAGAGGAATAGTAAAAACAACTCCATTTCCCTTCTGGGAACAAATGGCTGTAGCACGGACAAAGGAATTGTAATCTATGAAGTACTGGCAAAGAGGTTGAAATTACTCCTCATTCTAGTAAACCTCTGTCCATGAATGAATCCACATAGTTTAGAGGAGTTTTGGCTAAGATAACTGAATTAATTATTTAAAATTCAAACCATGGCTTTAATTTGATACATTATGTGAAATTAGCCATGGGTTAACCACATGATCAAAATGAATTAGACACTTTATAATGGATATAAGAGAATAGTTAGTGATAATGAATGTAGAAATATTGCCACAATCAATATTTGACAGTGAATGACATTATCTGTCATTTTAGGTGATTGAATGCTCTTATGAGCATCGATAGTAGTTTTTATCAAGTAGCAAATATTATCTTTTTATGGTATTTATTCTAGCACAACCCTCTTTAGTGAATGAAGGTTCTTGTCAATAGGGGTTTAGAAAGAGATATATTATTAGTAGAATATCTCAAACTGTAGAAATTATACTTAAAAAGTACTTACTTCTTTCCTTTGAGTACTTCATAGGAACTGGTGTGTTTCTTCTTGTTAACAAAAAGTTCCACCATCTCAGGGATATAGTTTGCAAATAGTACCTAAAATATCAGCAAATAAAACCTTAGGACTCACTATTTTCAAGGATACTCCAAAAATCTGAGATTATGACAGAGAAAGAAGGTACATAAAATTTTCTCTCATCTAGGAGAGGAATGACTGTGAACTATATTTTTAAGGGAAGACCATTTTTCTTCCCTACTTCAGCCTTTGCATTTGGTTAAAATTTAATAAAATACTTTAGCATTCAAAATGATGAAAATGATGAAAGAAAGGACAAGCAGTAGGGGAACCTTCCTGCCTGTTTTGTTCCCTCATTACTACAAACTGCTTTTCTGACTCTGGCTTGATACTATTTGGGGACTTGGAAAAATAAAGCATATGGGACAGAGATATAATTAAATGAGAGACTTAACAATGTGGACAGAGGAATATCAGAAAGGTGTAGTGAAGAACTCTACACTACATGGTTTTTAAGGAATTGAAATTAGGAACTAAAAGAAAAGGAGGCTGCCTTTGTCCTGAATCACACACAGATGTTCACTTATCCAAAGTAAAATGCTGGTTTCGAAAGAGCTTACTCACTTGGGCTGGCAAGAACAGAACTTTCTTCAGATCAAATCTCAAATGCCTTTCCTTTTTAAAAGAAAGATTCTAATCTGATGGGCAAAAGATGAAAGAAGATAGGATTGCTCAAATCAATGTAGAAGCTAATAAGAAAAGTCTGCTCTCCTTTGTCAACCATCCTCATCCCTGGCGACTAAGGAATTACATCACATGCTCCAGAGGATGCAGTCTGGGAAAACAAGATCCATGTATATCTTTATTTTCATTTGACATCTGCTCTGAATAATGTAACATTCACTCTCAAACCTATATTATTTTATTTCTCACCATTAACCAAATGTTTTTGGTTTGTGTATATCTATTCAAAAGATAAATATATTCATCACCAAACTCCCCAGGGTGAAGAACATGATGAAAGTCCGTCCTAGGGATGTCTTGGGCACCACATCTCCAAAGCCAACAGTTGATGTTGTTGCCATGACCAGGTAAATAGACTCAAAATATGATATATTCTGTGAATTTCTGCCTTTGAGCCAGGGATCACCAGAATTTTCCACCTATCCAAAGAGAGAAGACTCAGGAAAGGTTTCTGAATGGAACCCAAGGGAAAATTTACAAAGAACAGGCAAAATATTGGATTAGTTTCACTTAATTCAATTCAAGAGAAATATTAAATGATTCCTAGGCTACTGTGAAAGGTTTGAAAATTATGGGTAGTGATTGAGAAGTCTTATTTTCTTCCACAGTGATTATTGCTGAAATCTGAGAGGACATGTAGCTTGAGCCCACGTGTGAAATGCTCCATGGGGTGGGGGTAGAGTGGCTGCTCATATCTCTTTCTTTTCATGTGGCACATCGCCACATACTAGAGCCATCATGAGACTGAGCAATTATTATTTATTCTCATTTTTCACCAGAATAGGATTCTCATTAAAGAAAGAAGCATTCAAATGAGCATTTCACATGAATGCTAGTGTCTGAGGAAAAGCAAACAAACAAGTTTACCAAGTTATTTCCCCCACTCTCCACAAAAATCTTTTCAATGATTGAAGAAAAACTCTGAAAAATATTTCCTCTGATTTTCTCCTTAAGCCACCACATTTTAAGGAAACTAAATTCATCAGATTATCTTTTTTACATGGAATAAAAAGAGTAACTTAGTCAATGGCACTATACTTTATAGTATATATATATTTAAGTATATGATATATATCATATATCATTATAAAAATGTATAAGAATTATATAGGATATATGAATTTTCCTTTATTTTTCCATTTTTGGACATTTTCCCCAAATAGCTTACTTATTTCCTAGACATTTTCCATTTCTATTTAACATAAAAATGATAAATGCTAGAGATGGTGGGGGCAAGTAGGTTTTTTGTTTTGTTGTTAAGAACCAGAATGGAAATTAGAAATAATAGTTTGCTCAGGTATGTAATCACTTTTTAAAAGCGATGTGCCCAGTGCTGAAGTTTTCTTAAGTTTGATGAATAGGTTACAAGTGTGGACTCATATTAATACCTCACTCCAAAAAATGAAAAGATTGTGTATATACAGTTAACTTCCATGGCTGGTAGTGGATTATATTGTAAAGTGTACTAATCTGCTTCTGCTGACTTCTAGAGTCTTCACTATTTTCTGAGACTATTGTACTATAAGAAAGCCAAGTTTAAATCACACAGATTTAAATACATATATTCCCCCTCTCCCTGCAGGAATACAAGAGTTGCTTGGGAGTTTCATTTATGTTAAAACTTCAGTGTGTTTTAACATCTTAGCACAGGGTTTCAATCATATCCTTGTATAATATGTTGTACAAACTAAAACAAAATTTATTTCAACTTGCAAATTTCTTTCACAATAATTTAAATAACCCTTTAGTGTTTAATGCACTCTCTTTGAGGGTATTCTTTCAGCACTGAAGAGATGGCAGCCTTCTGAGGGTCTGCTGTCTAGTTTGCTCTCCTATTAACCATGTTAGTATCAACTACTCAGTCCCAGATGGGAAGTAAGTTAAGGTTAAAATAAAGGGTTATGGACTAATGTTAAAATAGTGAATTATTATCTATTTTTGACTCCCTATTTCAAAACTGAATTTTTATGTTTTTAAACTTTATGTTTTAATTTTATATTAGATATGTTATGGAGGAGGATATAAAGCTATTCTCCCAGCTCCTCTTACCTCATCATTTGTATTATCTTATTTTTACATTGCACATGTGCGTTCCAGTTTATAACCATAATTTCCTTAGTTATGTCTTAGTTCTATTTTAAATTCATTTGGTAAGCACTACTACTACTTTTTATCATGGTTTCCTCATTCTTCAGTTCTTAGTTTTGATTCATCTCTTTTGTGGTTGGATTTTATCAATGAGATGCATTTTTTAAAAGGGGCTCATGGGTGCTAGTTTCTCTTGCATGCTTAAAGTGATAGGGTAGGTTACACTTTCTTTCACACGAAGCTTGTAGACACCATTCTATCATCTTCCTGTACTGGTTGATGTGTTCACAAAATCTAAGGCTAGTTTGATTTTTCCCCCTTTTATAGACTACTTCGCTTTGTTCTCTTTATCCTCAAAGGTCAGTAAACTGCTCCAAATATGATTGGAATAAATAATCTCGTTTTTTTTTTTTTTCCCTCTTGGATTACAGTATACCATTTAATCTATAGATTCAAAACTTTATTTTAAATATTTTTTCTGATGCCATTTGTTGCGCCCTTTTCTTCAGGACACTAATTTTATAATATGCTGAATTGACTTTGCCCATCTTCCATGTTTCTTCTCAACAGTCATTTGAGTACCTTTGTTCTTTTCCATGTCAGTATTTTTTACTCAGTCTTGCCTACCATGTTCCTGAACACATTTTTGTCACATTTATTACATTTTGGTTTCCCCTGTGGTTTTCGGCTCTACAGTACTTATTTCTTCTTCTTTTTCTCTGGTATCTTTCAGCTCATTTTTAACTCTTTAAGAACTTTTTACTTAAAATCTTATGTATTTTGTTTGAATTATCATTGTCAGTTTTTAAAGCCTTTTATTTATTTTTTTCTCAAATAGGAAGGGCTTTTTCTTAATGTTTTCCTTTGTTTCACTGGGCAAATGATCTTGTAATTGTTTTTCTTATAACTGTTATAGTAGGTAACTGTTGTTATACTGATGTCTCTCTGCTCTCCATTATACCCTCTTGTTATTTCTGGCAGAATTTAAGGATAGCACTATATTTACTACTTTCTGATTAATACTCACCTTTAAATGGTATCAACTTTTAGCTAAAGGACACTGTGAGTATGGAAACATAGTGATTTGGGATAATCACTTTTATTTTGATTTGTTATTTCAAATGTCATCTCAACAAATTTGCTATTTTCTTTGCTCTAGAATATAGCTCTTCTGTGTTTTTAACATTCCAGATGACTCACAGTGGATTCCTTTAAGTCACAAGTCTCCTTGCCTGGGTGACTGGTTATCCAATCAACAAAGACACATGTTCACATGCTTAGAAGGGTCAAGCAAAAATATTTAATGATTCAAACAAGACTGACAGAGACTGTGTCCAACCCAGGAGCATATTCTATTTACAGGGAGCAGCTAGTCTTCAACTAGGACTATTGGTGGCCTTGGGAGAGTGTTTTGCTAGAACCTTGTATCTTCCCAAAGAATCTAGAAATCAGGGGTTTTATATGAGTTCGCCATAAAAGTTAGCAAGCAGTCAAAAAATAGAAAATAAAATAAAATGTATTTTCTATTTTATTAACTAGATCAAATAAAATACAATGGAATATTATTCAACCATAAGAAAAGATGAAATTCTGCCATTTGCATCCTGGATTTTGAGATTATCATGCTAAGTGAAATGAACAAGACAGAAAGTCATAGACATAGATAACAGTTTAGTCATTACCAGAGGAAAGGAGATGAGGGGAGGTTGTAGATAAGGGTAAAGGGGATCAAATACGTGGTAATGGAAGATTTGACTTTGAGGGGTGAACACACAAGGCAATATACATATGATGTATTCAATTTAATTAAAAAGAAATAAAAATTACATAGAAATAAAAAATATATATGTATACGCCTGTAGGCCACATTTAGTATGGGAGCTCCTCATTGGAACTGTTATTGAAGGTTAAAAAAAGTCCTGTTACCATGGTTTCTCCTTTAGCATTTTCTTTCCTACTATTCTGTGATAGCCAACAGGTCTCTACAGGGACACTGATAATTGCTTTTCCCCTGTTACACCCATGCCCCAAGGTTCAATCCTCTAGATCCCAGGCCTCCACTCTACTGCTATGAAAGTATGAAAGTTTTTTTTTTTTAAGGAAAATCTCTCTTGCATGGGTGCTGTTACACCCATGCCCCAAGGTTCAATCCTCTAGATCCCAAGCCTTGACTCTGTTTGTGTAATTTTTTTTTTTTTTTTTTTTTTTTTAAGAAAAATCTCTTTTGCTTGAGTGCCTGAGAAAAGATTTGGCTGTTTTCGGATTCCTTGAGATTTGTATCACAGTTTGCATTTGGTGCTTGACAATTTTTCTTTTTTCTAGTTATCATTTTAATTTGTCTGTTTTGTTTTTCTTTTCTCAAAGGACTGTGTAGTCTTTTGACATCCCATTTCAATTTCTGCATTAGGAGAACCAAGAAAGCCTCAAAGCTTCCTTTTGCAACTCAAGAACACCTACCACACAATTCTTCAGTTTTTATGTGTGAAATTCTCTCCTTGGCTTCATTTATTGGACTCTATGTTCTTTTTTTAAAATGTTGAAACTCTTATGAAGATATAGTGATAAATTTTTCTTATTGCTTTCTAGATCCCTTTCTACGAGCAGGTTTTGAAAGCTAAAAGAGTGTGGGAGATACCTATTTGTCAGAAATATAAGGCTGGAGAAAAATCCAGAAAAGGGAAGTAAAACAACAAATCTCACATTAGTTACAGTGATGAAGACAAGAATTCATGAGGATTACCTCCATTTCGTAAAGGCATTCATGCTGGCCCACAAAATTATCATGTTTGATGAGATGCTTACCAGGTGAATGAATCCTGCAGCTGTGAACCAAGTACTGAGAACTACTGATAACAGTTTGGAAAACTTCACTGAATTGCTGGAGGAAGAAAGACAAAGAACTGTTGGGTTCTGACAGGTTCCAGAACAACTCAAATATCTCACCTTGAAAATCTTGCTACTCAAAGTGTGGTTCACAAACCTGAAGCACTGATATGCTTACCTGGGAGTGTATTAGATATGCAGAATCCCAGGCTGCACCCCTTATCTACAGATTCACAGTGTTACAAACTTCTCTGCCTAATTCGTATACACATTAGAGTTTGAGCAGCTCTAAAACACACCCACTTACACACATTTGTTCAAAAGCTTATATTTTTGTATGATATCCACTAGCTTGATAGTATATTGCTTTTCAAAATATAAGTGTATCATCATAAAATAAATGTAATAGATTGCTACATTATCTAAGTAATAGTACAAATACAGTATCCTGAAAATCCAGAATAGGCTTCCAAAATGAAATTTTGAGTAGATCACAAAAATATGATCTCGTATTGCTAAATTCATACCAGGATCTTTGTGTGAAGAGAATCAGACAAGTTCCTGTATCCTAAATAAAGCCCTAGAGTTTAGCTGAAATCTCTGTGGTTTTCAAGCAGGGCCACCTGTCATACAAGAATAGCATGTTCCCATCTCAACTTCTCCATCATGCATAAACATTTAGCAATGAAATCTGTCTGGCTTGCAATATTTGATGCTTCTAGTGAGAAAGTTAGAGGCATAGAAATTTTGAGTAGGTAACATAAGACCAAACTGCTTAAAACTTTAGAAGTATTGCTGCTCAAAGGTGGTTTGGATTTTTGTTTGCTTGTTTCTTGAGACATTGGAGTTTCTCTATTTCTGTAAGCAATAGTTCACTGCTGACACAGGACAGCTCCCCTGTTCGGAGGAATTTTCTTACATTCCTAGCCAGGGAAGATACAATTCATAATAGCAAATGTATAGAACCAAAGCTTCTGAATTGCTTTGATTTTTCATTTGGGTGGTTGGGGGAGGGAGGGAGTTAAAGACTAAATGCACTTACACACTCTCTACAAAACAAAGAAGAAACAAAAGCTTCAAAATGATTGCAAACTTTTCAGTGTGCAATGTTACTACGATGAGAAAAAAAAGTGAGCAAATAACATCTTGGAAGCTGTGGGATTTCATGATTTCTGTACTGGAAATTCTGATAAGAAACGAGTTGGATTCAAAGTTCAGTTAACATTTTAAATTCTAATCCAAACCAGTAAGTGAGGCTAGCATTTACCTGGTCTTGATGACTCTCAGAATTTGCAAGATTTTAGGGAGTTCTAGCAGCCGCAACGCTCTTAAAAACCTTAAACCTACAAAGCAATTGAAAGGAGAAAGCTGCCAAAAGAGAGGGTTACTCCAGGGAGTGGTCTGAAATATAACACAATTGGGAGTGCTTACAATCTGTTCCCGAAATGCTCAAATATATTATATTATATTATGTTATGTTATGTTATGTTATGTTATGTTATGTTATGTTATGTTATGTTATGTTATGTTATGTTATGTTATATTATATTATATTATGTTATATTATATTCAAAATATTATATTATATTGTATTGTATTATATTGTATTATATTATATTATATCCTAGGTTAAGAAGCATGTGCTCTAGTTCAAATCCTGACCCTGACACTTAATAGCTGTTGTAATCTAAAGCAATCCCTTCAACTTCTCTTGTTCCTCATCTGTAAAATGGGAATTATACTAGTACCTACCTCATAAGGTTGTTGAGCTAATATAAAGCATATAATAAGCACTACTCAACTCTTCTTTAGAATGGAAAGCAAATTATTCATAAACTACTTAAGTTCCTGACTGTAGAATTTCTATGATATGTTCCTAAGTGTTTGTATGATGCTTTACTTTACATAGTTTGATAATAACTAAGGCAAGGAATATTTTGTAGATAATAAATATACAATTACATAAAAACTGATAAAAGCCAAAAAGTGTTCATGCACTGTCAATACGTCCACATTAAAGACTAAGTTACTAATTAAGTAAATTTCTAACATGCTACAGCATGTCTGAATATGATGATTTATAGCTTTTAAAGACCAAAGGAGGCTGTTTCTCTCTGCCAAGTCCACGTGGGATCCCAGCATAAAGGTACCATAAGGGGAGGGATGCTGGGGCCTTCCTCTTAAACTGTGAATGAGCTAGTCCATTAACAATAAAGAAACATTGACATCGACTGTGCATCAGGTGCATTGCATTGCTAAGTACTGAGATTTTAAAAAAAGGGTTCTGAAAATATATTATAAAACCATACAATTACAGTGAGGAATTTTTTTTAAATGGCATTTGGGATTTAAGGAAAATGAAGGATACTTATGAATGAATGTTGAGGCTTCTTTTAGAGATTGTTCCTTATTCCCACGATATACTTACCTAGCCAATTACTCTTCAAATAATAAGAAATAAAGGTTGGTGGGATGGTAAAGATGTCTACAATTGAATTCATCTCCATCCAGAACTTGATCTTGTCATCAGCTGCCAAAAACTATGAAATGGAAAGAAAAGCCCCCAAATTCTGTTACCCTCAAGAATTCTAAAGTGAACACAAGAGTGGATTTATTTGGCTACAGTTCATTCATCAACTGAAACTTTGATCTCATTCTATTATATACATACATATATACACATATATATATTTATATCACTATCTAGGTATATATTTATATAGATATATAGATATGTATATATTTATGTAGATATAAAGTTTGTACCTTTAGTAGGTATTCAATAAATGAACATGAAGCCATTTTACTTGCCAGAGCTCAACTCTCATGCTTCAGAGTAAACACTTTGACCTTTGTGCTGCTTTTAGAGCTTTCTAACATTAGAGAGAAGAAAGAGAGAGAGAGAGAGAGAGAGAGAGAGAGAGAGAGAGAGAGAGAGAGAGAAAATTCCCTATTTGTGAGCAACGAGGATACATGATTTAGGATGGTCTTCAATGGAAAAGGTACGGCTGCCTAAAACTTTGGCGGGCCAAGGCCTGTGTTTATAAACTTCCCTATTTAAATTAAGAAAGAAGCATTTCTAGAAGGGAGAGTGTGCTGTAAAAAGATTTTGATCATCAGTGTGTCAGAGTAAGTTTTGAAGGATGGTCAAGGAAATATATATTAAATATATATATAACATATTTTTATATGTATATATAAAGTCTCCTACAAACATGGGATGGATAAATACACTGAAATCTAGATCTAGGATGGGTCCTCAATAAAGGCCTGTGGAATGAAAAAACTATTTAATATATGAGTGAAACAGAAATGAAACAAATATATAAAAGTATTTTATATAGTTATATGGCACATATGCCATCAGTGGAGCTAATGACATTTTCAGAGGATTGTTATTCAGGTTCCGCTAGCTTGTGACTGATTATTAGTACAACTTTCTCAGTGGGAGGTGAGAAGCCAATAAGGAGGACAGTGTGACAGGATGATGATATTTACAAAAGGAATCATTTTCATTTGTGTTGGCATTTTTGGCCTGGTTTATAGTTTCAGGTGCAGGAGAGAGTTATTACATCTTATTATACATTTAACAATTTAGGGAACAGACACTCTAACTTTAGAGCCTGAAAACATAGGCCAATTGCATAACCAAGGCACACACAAATCTCTTTATTTTGCACCTGTTGTTTTTATCCATTTACTCCCACTTTCAGTAGGTACTTACTCTTAATCCAAAATAGAAACTAAAGAAAACATTGAAAGTCAAATCAATAGGGATGGTTTTGTCTTGATATGAAGAACAGCTTCCAACTGGGCTAGAAAAGAAACAAGGACAGTTTGTAAAGATGTACACTACATGTGTCTATATAGGACCACATAAAGAAAAAGGTAGGCAATTTTTTATTTATTCATCATAAATGGTCAATCCAGATACTTAAGTTCACATCTCAAGGAAATTCTTTCCTCTTGGGAGTAGAGGTATGTATGAGTTAAACCACCAGACTGTGCACGGAGCTGAAAATAACAGGAAAATACCTGCTCTTCCTTTCACAGAGTTTATTGCTTCTATTTCTGTTTTACCAACGTGGATTCAGAAGCTAAGAGATTATGTAGTTCTTCTTGATTTCCACACCATTTACCCAGGCAGGACATTTTGGCTTCTATACCCTTTTGATATAGAGCTACTCTAGGTCAAGTGGACTGACCCCAAGCCAAATTCAAAGAAAATTTCCTAGAAGATCAGTAAGGCATTCACAAAGCAAAGACTACACTTTCCCTAGGATCTCTAAAGCTACCTGTCTTTTGTGGCCCTGCAATCCCAATTTTATCTCAGATGAAAATCCAAAGTAATTCTCAGAGAATCAGCATGGAGTTCAGATTAGACTGGGCTGTGCCCAAGAAACTGTCTTCACTTTGGCATAGAAGAAGGGAATACCTTCAGAGAAGAGCAGATAATAATTTGCTCCTTTCTCTCAGGTAAGGTCTAGCATGTTCCTTTCCCAAGACCACCCTAAGTTGTTTGAAACCTATGAGAAACCCTGAAATGTCTACAGAACTTCTGCTTCAACACCTAAAGAATTCAAAGGCAAACAAAGCCCTCATAAGTGGTCCAAGGGAGGAGATGGCAGCTGGAAGCTTGTAGTCCCAGAGGCCCGAGAGTAGATCTGTGCATAGCACCCTAGTCTCTAGCAATGTAGCATGGCAGGATGCAGAGGCAATTCACGTATTTTTTGTGGAGTTGCTTTTAGTGCTTCCTGGGTGAGAACTAAACACTTATCCTTTTATTATGAGCTTGTGTATGTGAATATATTTGAAAGTGTATTAACCATTTTTCCTGACAGAAAATTCAAAATTAGCTGGCAACCTAATGATACAATATCTCAGACAAAGGTGAGTAGGGATTTTACTCACTCAGTAGAGTTGATGAAATAGATTATAAGAGACCCGATGCTTAGTACAAAGACAAGGATCATCTGAGGAAAAGAAAATAGAGACAAAGGTAAAAATTCATTTTATTGACATGAATATAGATGAATAAACAAATCTGCTTTTGTTTTCATTTCGCCTATATATATGTAGTCATTTTTTCACACATTTCATTTATGTTAGCATTCATTCATTTATTCATTCATTCTTGGAACTTTACTGGGTATTCAATAAATGAACATGTATCCACCCGTTTTATTTACCTAATTTTAACTCTCACACACTACATAATAAAGAGTTTGTTCTTCCTGCTGCTCCTAAAGCTTTCTGATCTCAAGAAGTCCTACCATTTATTCACTCATTCACACATCAAACATTTATTAAGTGCTTTATATGTGTTATGTATTTTGTTACGTGCTAGAAAATGATGGCTATTGCATATAGACTTTGGAGTTGAATTGTCCATGATATTGTGGAAGAAAGGGTCTAAAAGATGGTGAGAATTTTGAGAGGATGAAAAATGCTACAAGTGAAAAAAAGAAAATGAGTGCTTTTAACCTACCAACGTATCTGGTCTATAAAATAAGCGGAGCTTGTAGAATATAATTAGAAATTTACCCATTCAAAACCCTAGATGCATTTAGATGAAATCTTCCACAGCCCCCATGACTTTTCAGGTCTACTTTAGGTAAGCGAACATTCTTCCAGCTATTTCTAGTTTCCAAACCATTTGTTTCTTTAATGTGTTTAGTCCAGTTTAGTAGTAACAATAAAACTGAATTTTATTAATAATTAAAGCTTTACTCCCTCCTAGCTCAGGTGTCCCTTAGAAAGGTTATGTATTTTGGGAAAGTGGTCAGTTTCTTCTTTATTAACCTTCTTTTGAATTTTTAATCTTAGTTTCCCACTGACTAGGCCTCTCCAGAATTGTTCATGAGTTGTTTCATTGCTTTTTGGAGATCTCAATTCAATTCATATTCAAATTCAATAAATATTTTTTTAGTACCTATCATAATCCAAGTATTATTCTGGTGATTGGGACATTTTAGTGAATAACATATACAAAGATTCCACCTTTATGGAGCTTAGAGTCTAGACAATCGATAAAGACAATCAATATATAACTTATATGATATGTTAGAAGATACATGCTAGAAAAATAGAGCAAAGTAAAGGCGATCAGAAACACAAGGAGGGGGGCAGAAGGGTTGCAGTCTTGGTCATATTTAATTGCTAAGTGTCCCATCTGTGGTTCCCTGGAATTGGGTGAAAGCATATTCCCTCACCAATTGCTCACAAATCTTTCCTCAGTACACCTCACACTCTTGTATTCTGCTATATTCCTTATCCTCCAAATGCCTTCTTAAGCAGGTAAGAGGAGACTCTAGCATTTCACCCACATCTGGTCCATGGGCCAGCTCAAACATTCTTTGCCCCAACAAACACTGGAAAGATGGAATATCTCCAGTGTGACAACTTCTCTGTCACAGAGCTGCTAGCTGGATAGTCCCTTATCACAAATGAACCAGATGTCAGGCCTCTGTGTCCCCAAAGTTCGAAGAGATGTAAATTGAAATTTCTAAGTGCTCTCTCTTAAACTTCAGTCCTTAGACTTGACATGAAAAAAAGTCCTCCCACGTCTCTGCCATAACAGAGTTTGCTCTAAAAATCCTTTTATTTCCAGTATATCCTAATTTATGTGTGATAGGGTAAGATATTGAGACCTCCAACTGGTTTTCTTCCAATTTCTTTTTAAGTGGCAGCGTTGCAGCTCACTTACAACATGGTAGTTGTTACTGAGATCTATTTTCTCAGGGTCTCAGCTCTTACTATGTTACGTTTTAACATCTAAAGTATTGATGAGATATTACTAAGTTTGTGGGTCTCAAAGAGATTCAGTTAGAAATGTAATCCGCAGCTCAGGAAAAATGTTAGGAGAGAATGTGTGTGTGTGTGTGTGTGTGTGTGTGTGTGTGTGTGTGTGTGTATCAGGATATTGATAATTATTAATAAATAGTTTGTATGAAATCTTTTTCCTTCCCTTGACATATGATCTTATTTTTATCCCTTACTAAATCTTTATAAGTGATTCTTCAAGTATAAATTCTTCATACATTGACAAGTTTACACCCTCTAAACCATAGAAATTAACAAAAAACCAAAAGTTTTGATTTATTGAAACTAAGAACAATACCAATCTTATGCCACAAACCTAAAGAATAATATCCAGAAATAACATATAATAAAAAGCAAAATGTATTCCAAACCAAAAAAAGTCACTGGGAGCTAAAAGCTTGTGAACACTGTTCAGTGGGTCAAGTAAAAATGGAAGATAAATCTGAGAGGACCTGTAAATTTCTCTTGGGTTGGCGGGGCAAAATCCAGAAGTGCTGGCTGTTTGGCAGCGGTAGAAAGCTCTCCCCCTGAGGTGCTGATTGAAGATGGAGCGACAAAGCCAGAGGGACCTTCGAGGAGATGCTCTGAGGCCAAGCTATCGTCCAGAAGGAACCTCTTAAGCAGCAGCAATGCTTCTTTCTCAGAAACACCTTGCAAACCAGTCAGAGAAAAATAAACTGAAAAATTTGGAACCTCATCCTGAGAGAGTTTTGTCTGCAGAGTTGTTTGTTGGTCACAGCATTATCCCTCAGGTTTGTCTTTGTGGGAAAACACACAAATTGATGCTTTGATTTCCACAGTGGGGATTAAAGCCTTCTATTTAGTTGGTAGGGAGTTATGGGTGTCTTCAGAATACAAACAGAAGCCAACAGTTAACAAGAGATATTATGAAAACTCTAAATCTTCATTTATGAATATGAGCAGATAATGGAAAATTGACAGTTATATGGGAAGTGTGAGAAAATAAGAAGATCAGAGAAAAGAGATAAAAAGACCTCCAATGAAAGAGCTAGCATAGACTATGTAATTAAACTTTAAAAAATTACAATTAGTGTTCTAAGTGAGATTCTAAAAATCTATTAAATAGTATTGGAGGACTAGAAACGCAAAAATGGGAATATGGAAGGTATCAAAGAGGTGTACCTGCAAGAAGCTACACCCCAGTACTGGGTGAGAAATCAACAAAAAGAGGTCAGGATTACCAACACTTCGCATTTTATAAGAGGTGCCCTGTGGAGCTGAGTATCAGACCTGGGAGGGGGGCCCCTGGCTTGGCTGGTTATGGTTCCTCTGAGGAGATGCTATGAGCCTGGTTCTGGCAGTTTTGGGAAGAAACTAGAAACAGGATCCAAGTACTGCTACAGAAATGAAAAGATGTTGGTTAGCTGAGGCTGAAAAACAGAGATACAAAACATGGAAGGAGCAGTTCCCTTCCCCTCCTTTAGGCTTCCTGTCTCCTATTATACCCACTGTTGGCAGAACTTAATAAGGGAGCTGACAAAAAAGATATGTAATTGCTGAGCACTGGCCTCACATCACACAGGGTGAATTTGGAGCTGAGAAACAAGAGCTTAGTATCTAGCCGGTAGCCTTAAGTGTTAGAAGACATTGAGACAGCATTCACTAAGACTTTAGAAAAAAAAAAAAATGCAAGCAAAGAATCCTACACCCAACCAAATTGCTGTTCACATCTGAGAGCAAAATAAAAAATCATTTTTTGGATATTCGAGGGTTCAGAAAGTATACTATTCATACTTTCCCTAATAAATGAATATGAGAAGTACTCAAAAAAAAAAAAAGGAAGGAAAAACTCAGAAAGTTAAAATACTTAAGAAAAAGTGGTGTCTAATAAAAGGTAAAAATAGTGCAATCTTTAACCCTAAAGCAATTATTAAGTAAAAAAATCTTACCAAATGTATAATGCTAAAAATAAACACACAAACAAACAAACAAACCCATAACAATAATTTAGAACTGAATGTTCAGATAAGTTCAATAATCAGGAAGGAAGGAGAGATGGTGTGGAGGAAAAACATGCCAAAGATTTCATGTAAGTGGAGGACACATGTATAAAACATGCAGAGATACATGGAGGAATACAGAATGGAAAGTTTGTTTTGAATTAGATTTATCTAACATATCTACAATATTCTATTAAAATGGAATTATCCAAGTCAAAGATGTAAAAAAATAAATAAAGTTAATAAAAAATAACAAATCAGAAACAGAAATCTCAGCCAATGATCAGTGCTTCTTATACTCTGAATCGTTTACATGTATTATCATGTAATACATAACTCTCCCTACAATACTTTAAGGAGGTTATTCACATTATATAAATAAAATCCAATTTAGAAAAATTGACTTGCCTAAGGTTACACAGTAGAAAGCGGAGGAGCCAATGTTTGAGTCCGTGTTTCAAAATTTACTATCACCATGTAATTCTGCCTTTCCAGTAAGATAAGGAACTCAGACTGTGACAGCTCTTCATCATGTGTCAATACCCATTCTTCCTTTTTTAAGTAACAGACCACCCATTTGTTTTTCAAAGTGACTGATATTACATATTCTATTATGCAGCAAATTTAAACTCTAAATATTACAAAGACCAATAAAATAGATGACTGTAAGGAGAATAATTAAATGTCCCTGGTAAATTAACAAATAAATGTACAGTTGATAAAAGAACAATATCCAACTACATAATATTTATAAGAGACATAATTGACAGAAAGATTGAAAGAGAGCTGGGCAAAGACATCTCAATGAAGTATAAATAAAATGAAAATGTTACATATTAATATTGTATTCTAAAATATTCCAGCTCCACCAAAAAACTAAAATAAACCCCACTGAATGTGACAAAAATGGATATTTCATATTGATTAAAGACACAGTCAAGAAAACATAATAGGTAACTTTACACATTAATTGATGTTATATAAGATATATAACATATATATACTTAAGATATATATAATTCAAAATATGTCAAAAATGTAATATTTGATAAAACTATAAAATCATAAATGAAAAATTTTTGCATGCCCTTTCAATCAGTGAGCAAATAATTGCAGATATGGAAAATATATATAACAAAATTAATAGTGCTTATATAACAAACAGATAATACAGCACATATTCTTTCAAA